TTTTTTTTTTTTTTTTAAACTCTTGAGTCTGTGTCATGCACTTGAGACCCCATGATCCATTATCTAGGGGGAATTGTACAATTTAGATGATCATCCAGCTGTTCCATGTAGGTTAACGTAGCAGATCTGTGGTATTTCTCTTTCTGAAGTAAAGCAAGATTAGCTTTTTCTGACAAACTAATTTGGAAGGGAATTTTCTCATGTACACAGTGATAGTACAGGAATTGGGAGACCTAATTACTTGTTCTTGAACTGGTGTGCATGCTTTATCCATTTTCAGTTCTAGTTATAGTAAAACAAGCTGATCTTCCGGATTGTATTGTATTATGAATTTTAAAGAACCTTGCTATAGGTAGATATCATTACATTCCTGTTTCTGAAAAGATCTATTATCAGCTTAACTCAGAACTTATAATAAAAGCATCTCGGGTTGCTCCTAGTCAGGACTGTAATTAACTGAATAAGTGAAGACCACTTATAATCAAGTTTCACTGAAAATACTATTTTGACTTGAGTGCTTAGTTGCTAGTATGAAGCTCTGAACTGATTTTAATGTCGTGTAATTCTGAAACTAAGTAGTCCCGTGAGTATCTCTGATATCGAGGCCCTGGGGAAGAGGTGGGCAAATACAAGGGGTTCTTAACTCTTAACATTCTTTCCCCAAATCAACTTGTGTTTGGATCTGCAGGGGTAATTAAAAGCCTTACTGTCAGCTTAAAAATTATGGTGTAATCTCTCAGAAAGCTTTTTTTCTGCATTACTTTTTTCTTAGAAGCAGATTTTATTGATGGTGCCATGGTTCTCTGGTCACAAACATTTTCTGGTTGTACACACTTTATGACTGTTTGCATTTCATTTAATGTAGAAGGATACAAGATAAATTGTATTGCAACCTCTTCTCCAGTTGTAAAATTCTAAACCACGTTATCTCCCAATTTTTTTGGTAGGGTTATGTTTTAAGTTCTATTGAAGGTCGTGTCGCAGTGGAATATTTGGATCCGAGTCCAGAAATCCAGAAGAAGAAATACGCGTTCAAATGTCACCGTTTGAAGGAAAACAACATTGAGCAGATTTATCCAGTTAACGCTATTTCTTTCCATAACGTCCACAACACGTTTGCTACAGGTAGAGTAGATACTTGATTTCCTTGTAACACTTGTATCAATTCCTTTAGTTTTGATTTGAACAGCTCAGCTTTTATTTCATAAGCCTTTACTTTTTAAGCATTTAAATCTTCAATGAGCAGAGTTTTTAAGTTATTTGATACAGTGAGAGTTAATGTTTTTAACAGGGGTTTGGGGAAATACTCGTTGTGCTCTTTACTGAATTATGTAACTCTGTACAACCCTGTGTTTTTCCTGATACAATAATTCCAGGTAATTTCCTCTTTTAATTTTTTCTTTTTTCCTTTTGCTGTATTTTTTTTTTTTCAGTCTTACCATTCACCTATTAGGTTCCTGCTCCAGCAGGGGGATTGGACTGGATGATCTTTTGAGGTCCCTTCCAATCCCTAATATTCTGTGATTCTGTGATTTACAAATGGCTTTTTAAAAATTAATTTTCAGGAGGTTCTGATGGATTTGTAAACATTTGGGATCCGTTTAATAAGAAGAGACTGTGTCAGTTCCATCGGTACCCCACAAGCATAGCATCACTTGCCTTCAGCAATGATGGAACTACTCTTGCAATAGCTTCTTCCTATATGTATGAAATGGATGACATCGAACATCCCGAAGATGGTATCTATATTCGCCAAGTGACAGATGCAGAAACGAAACCTAAGTGAGTACGCTTCACCTGTGTTTGAGCCTTTCTCAGCCATTCATCCCCAGATTTATTAATTTTCCTAAATTCATGAATAGCTTTGTTGATGCCAGCAGATAGTGCAGCTTGACTGTAGGGTTGGGTTTGATTTTATCTTGTTCGCCCAAGCTTTCAATATCCGTAGGTTGATAGACGGCTGATGGATAAAATTGTGCCTAGTTGTTTAGTAGGAGAAGAATGTCAAACCCTTATCCTTTTTTTGAATAGGTGCTATTATATGAAGCTGTGGAGTTATTGCTAGCTCGTTGCTTCAAGAATTAAGTGAAGAATTCAAGAATAATTTATTTGAGTAAATGTTACTGTGTTTGGTTTATTTAAAACTTGGAATTAATGAAATCTTTACACACTGAGTATGCATCCAGCTGTCACAGCCAGAAGTGAATCTAGATACCGTGCCAGGAAGGTTGTGTAAAATCAAGGAACAGCTTTCTCAGTTCCCATGTGTTGGGAGTTTGCTGCAGCCCTCTGATAACACACTTTTTCTATCATTGTTGCTGTCAAAATGGGGCAAACTGATTGATGGAGGTAAAAGGTTTCTGTTAAGCTGTCTCTGGCATGAATGTTACACAGAAAAATTGCCGTCACGGTGCGGAATTGCACTGCTCTTCATTACACCAGCACGGGAGCAGTTGTTTTTATTTTCAAATTCCTGTGGTTTGTCACTGCTATTTTTTTTTTTCCTAGTACTCAAACTGTCTTACACTTTATCAGGTTGTCTCCATGATTTAATATCTAACGGGCTGCCTAAATAGACACACATAAGTGATCAAAGTTCTTGAGTTTAAAACCTCAAGACCTTCCCCCTCCTCTTTTAAGTGACTTGTATATTGCTTCAGAGCAGCCATTTTATCGCTGTGGAGACGTGAGGTGGAAGTTACAGAAGAATAAATACACTCTCTCTCACTTGGAGATGTTTGTTTTAAAATAATTTTCTTACTCATGATAAAATAAAACCAGAACTATTTCAGTATTTATTTCTGGTGCTTCTTCAAGTTAAAAAAAAAAAATAAAAAAATCCAAAGATGATAATTCACATTTATTTTTAAAATCAGGTTGTACTTGTTACATACATTTGAGAGGGTTTAAAGAGAAAAAAAAAAAAGGTGATAAAAGAATACTTGCTGCTATTGGTCTTGTCATAATAAGAGCTGCTTTCAGTTATTTTTGTTCATTGCTAGTTATGGTTGCTAATTCTGTAGAAGCTTCGTTCTGCCGTATGAGGAGGTTAATCTACAATTAAACAATATTTCCTCTTGGCCCTCCATTATTTTCTGAAACAGATGGTTCATCATTTCCTGGGCTGTTAAACACAGCGAGGTTAAGGTTAGACTCTTGGGAATCAGCTAGTTTTGAATCTTATTAGGCTGTAGAAGGAAAACTAATAAGAATACTCCTTAATATCATTTTGTGACTGTAAACAATTATTTATTAGCAAACAATTGATCCCAGAAGGGCAAATTGTTTGAGTCAGTAATGAGCTGAGAAAAGACAGAGCATATCTGTGTATTTGGAAAATAATTGTAACGTAATTGCAATGCATTTAGACAGGCATCTTTTTGGACCTGTTTCTATCTTTAAATGAATTTCTGAAAACATTAACAAGGTTTATCTGCCTTTCTGACATTTACAAGTTGCTCGTGCCAACCTTGGGGCACTAAGAATGATGTGTATATTTTAATGTTACAGTAGTGTGAGTCATCTCTGGTTTATTCTAAAAATAAGTTACTTGAGACAGAAGACTAATAGTTCTTTCATAGTCAGCTTTTTGCATATTAATTTGAATCACTTAGCATTTCTGCACGCTGTGTTCTTAAATGCATCAAGAGGGTGCCATATTACACAAAGAAAACTTGGCAAGATCAGCTTTTTGACCACTAAATTGTTACGTATCGTGTCTTGATACAAGTGAAAACAAGTCTTTCTGCACATTTCTGCTTTTATAGAATGATGCATGTTTTACCTGCTTTTGATTACTCTAAATATTGCTTGCTGAAATACAGTTTATTTATTTCAGGTCTACTTAGACTTCTGGTGATACTTCTTCTCTACAAGAGGTGCCCACCTGTTCCTAACAAGGCAAAACTAAACCAGTAGAAGTGAGAAGAACAATCTTTGTACCGATGTTGTTTTTAACTGAGACAGATTTGTTTGTATATTGTAGTATGTCTTCATCTGTCCTTACTTGCCTGCTTATAATGTTAGTGAAACTATTTTCTTTATCTGTTTATCTGCTGTCTGTAGCTAAATTAGTTCAGTCTTGTAGCCAACTTTGCATATAACCTTTATAAAAATACATTTTTTTAGTATCTAATTTTGAAAACTGCAAGCTGTCTCATAGTTGTTCAATAAATATCCGTAGTTTTTTTGAAAACAAGTGCTTTGTGTAACAACCTTTACTGTTTGTGAAACAAACCTTAAGACCAAACCTTTGAGTTGCAAGAATTCTTGAGTTCTAGATCTTCCTGATGGAATATTTCTCTTTCCTCTTTTTCTAATGAGATGAAGTGGGAATTTCTTCATTACCCCAGGATGTTGGCTCTCCAGGCAATGTTTTCACAGGGTTGTGGAAGCCTGAAGTTGTATTAGGTGGGCTTGTTTGTCTCAACAACTTGATCATTACTGGAGAACAGTTAACTGTTTCTGGAGGGAAGAACTTGAATGTGTGGTACTCTGGGGGTTTTTGTTTGTTTTTTTTTCAGCTACTACCTAAAAACCTAAAATTAATGATGCTTGGGAAGAATTGAGGGTAGAGGGGAGGAAATGTAGAGTTTCAGCCTACAGCTGAGTGATCTGTTCCAAGTTTGGAGATCTGACCTGGCAGACCAGATTTTATGGAAGAAAAGGTAGAAAAGAAGAGTTTCCCCAGAGTGGAAATGTCATTCTGGCCACAAAACCCCATGAAAATATGTTGTTTCTCTGAATGTCTCATTTGCTTTATTACCAGTAGGTAAGAAGTCTAATCTGTAATCAAATTTTGTGGCAGCCTCTTGAGGATTTTGGAGTGGGGGGTGGGTGTGAGAAGATGCTTGAACATGGACAAATTAAACATTTCTTGGGAGAGCAGTATTAGAAAACCAACTCAGACACTGTGTGCTTGTTTTTTCTAAACAGGAATGTAGATCTGATCAACAGACTAAACCTGAAAATCCATCTTTTGATAAAAAGAGTATATTCAATGTTGCACATTCCTGACTGGTTTGTGGAAATAAATATAAAAGCTTCTGATTAGTAAAAGTAATCAGTAAAATCTAACTCACCCAACTCTGTTTGCAGAACAGACTGTCCAGCTGCTCGTGTCGGGTGTTTGGGAAGTACTTGAGTATCTTAAGTATTCACTGTGTAGTGTAAGGAGGGACAGAACAAAACTTATCAAAGATGATTTAAGTTGTGGGTATTTTGGAGTGGTGATTGGATTCATACTTTCCTCCCAATTTCTGTTCTGAGTTATCAGTGCCTGCGTAGCCAGTGGGAGGATTTTATTACCTTTAAGAAAACAAACTTGCTGCCAACAGAAACAGTAACCGATCGTTCCAAAGAAGGTGGTGATGGAGAGGAAGCTGGGCTCTGTGTGTGCAGGAAGCTAACAAACTTGAGCTGTTATCAGAGATAGTAAATGAGTTAAATGTGGAATACTTTATAATTTGTCACGAGCTAGATAGGCGTTCTTTGATAACACAAGCTGGTTTTGATGGGTTTGAAAGAAAATAAAGATCTTCCTGAATTAAACATGAATAAGGCCCTCACTGCAGTGGCATCCAGCCTCTGTTCTGATAGACCTGCCTCCTCATCCCTGTTTCTTCACATTTTAATTGGCTTTTTTGCATTGAGGGTACATGACTCTGATGTTGGGCAAAGGTTGAATTTTTGGCATCAGCTTAGGAAGAGATAACACCTTGGTGTTTGGGTTGGGGTTTTTTTTTGTTTGTTTGTTTTGTTTGTTTGTTTTGTCTTTATGGGTTTTTTTTTGAGGAATGAGTTGATAAATAAGGATAAATGGAGCCTAAACATGGGAACCAAAGGTTTCTGTGAAAATGACTAGTACAGAAATAGTAAGCAAAATTCCTGGTTTGAGGGATGGCTGTAGATTGGGACAGTGAACTTTGTGTTAGGAACACTGTCGAGTGTTCCAGGGTCCCAGACCACAATGTGTATGTGTGTGCAGGTTTAAATACATACATATTTGCAGAGCAAACATACAAAATGTCTGTTGTTTCTCCATCTCTTCTCAGCTGAGAATATAATATTACAAAATACAAGCTTGAGCCCACAGAAAAATAAATTACTCTGTCGTTACCTAGAAGCACAACAGCGACCCTGCTTGTGGAGAGAGCCCTGAAGTGAGGATGGGTCCAAATAAATAACGTGTGAAGGCAGAAATACGCTGAGACTTGCAAAAAGGTGGCTTAGTGGTGATGTGGAGAAAGGAACATGGGAAATGGAGAGAGGATAGAGTGGGGAGTTGCAGGGGTAGAGCTGTGGGGGACAAAATGAAATAA